AGAGGGCTTCCCCCAGCACTGCGTCAGTTTGATTCCACAACCTTCTGACTCAGAGGGTCTCGTGGTACTAACTGAGCCAGGCTGACGGCACAAATTCCAATGCAATCCCTTTCATGTAACCCTTAATTAATAGCTCTGAGTTGTCTCAGTGACGTGATAAGGCGCTACAACAAAATGCAATGACTATTACTTTATTATTATTATTATTATTTAAACTATATAATTTCCAACATTCAGTAGAACCCTCATAGCTGAATGTATATAATCTTAAGACATCGGCAACATTCTAGATTTGATTGTTAAGAGTGTTATGATCAGTGATGCTTCATTTTCTCCCCGGTAAGCCACACGTTTAATAACAACTGCGTTCAGAATATGCCATTAAAAATGTGAAAGCAAGCGCTGAATTGCTACCATATGTCTGTAGCTATCTTGTTTTAAAAATGATGAGCCACAGACTCAGGAATTTTATGATGCACATTTTCTGGGCTGTCCATCGAGAGATTAATAGTCTTGCTGTACTGAAATTTAAAATGCGTAAGGGCTCACAGCACAGTTGAAGCATTAGTTATTACGGGTTGTACTCTCCTCCCAACACCCAGCTATATTCAAATATAATGTAGTTTGTTCCCTTCGTAGCTGTTTGAGGGACGTTGCTGGGTACAAATAGGCTGCTGTTTTTGCCAACAAAATAGTCGCGCCAGTAAATCCTGTGAAGTGCTTTCTGATTTCCTCCTGATACGACATCAAGTGCAAAGATTGTTATTGCTGCTATTACAATATTGGTGATGGACTGAAAGGTCTCAGTGCCCACCACCTTGGCATCTCAGTACAAAATAATATCGACATAGGCGTAACATTATATGGTTTATACGAAGAAAAATAGTACCAAAGATAAAGGTAATATTGCATCCAAAATTAGTCTGCGTTCTGATGGTACTATAAGGTAGTAAAGGGCAAGGTCACCTGATGGTGTATCATCAGAGGTCTTGCTCTTAAATGTATACAACAAAATAAAAGCCTACCAAATAGTTAACTTATTTTTTTTAAAAAAAATCTAAATTCTCTTACTTCAGTTGTATCCATATGAAAAGCAAAAGCTGCATAGCACAAGGATCTACAGTATTTAGGTTTAGACAAGTAAAACTCAGTTCAAATAATCCAAACAGGTTTTCCATCCTGATCTAAGAGTGAGCAGTCAGCTTCGCAGTGTGCCCTTAAAATTAATTTAGGCTTAAACATCAGGGGAATTAAACAGAGACTGTTTTTGCCACACTGAAAATCAGTCATAACAAGGTAAAATATCTGCAGAGTGACAGAAGACAAGAAGTATGTGGGCATTACTGAAATATTTTCATTGAAAGTCAAGGTCAAAAGATTATAGTTACTCCCCAGACTCTTGCTGCGTACTGGTTTGTCGTGGATGAACACACACTTAATTATTGGCAACAATTTGGCAGCCTACATTATTTGTTATTGGCAGAGTTTTTCCTTGTACATAAAATGACGGAAGGTATAAAATAGAAAAGTGGATACGCTGCTGGAATCTTTTTAATCAAATGCATCCCGCTGCAGGCCACCAAAAGCCTCTTATTTTGCGGGTTGGGCTGAGCTGTCTGGCAAAGGGTAGGGAATGTGATCGTCATATCGAATCTCGACCACTCAATAAATTGGTAAGAGGGGCGGAGTGGGAGGTACGAGCCATGTCCCCAGCTCCGCTTCTCTTGCCGCCACCCTCGAAGCGGAGATCGATGGGAAGAGAGGTGCAGCTGGGAGATAAAGGTGTCAATCGTACCCGGGGCCCCTCCGACCTCAAAGGCCCCAAACTTATTGGTTTATCTGGCTCTGCATGCGAATCAATTCACTGATTCTAGTGATTTGCTTTCCCGGTTGCCAGGATCAGTAAAGTGAATTGAATTGCATGTAGCGTAGAAAGGAAATGGACCTGTTGACCCAACTAATTTGTACCTGTGTTTATACTCTACCAGAGCCTCCAACCCTTTTAATCCCCTCTCCCACACCCTTCTATTCCCCTTTCCCGTATGTATGCATCAAATTTCCTCTTATACATGGATACTTTTGGCTTCAACCACAGCTTTCAACAAGGAGTTCATCAATCTCACCACCCTCTGCTTAAAGCAATTCCTCCTAATCTCCCTTTAAATCTGATACTAGCTGTTGTACGGTATTCATGCTCCCTCCCTTGCCAACATGTGGAAGCCTATTATATGTAATAATAATCCTTGCATTTGACATAGCGTCTGAGCGCGTCTTTGAGACGTCTCAAAGTGCTTCAAAGAATACACTGTAAAGTGACGTGACTGTACATTTTGTGGGCAAAACACGGCAGCCAATTGCGCACAGCAGTGTCCCACACACAGTCATGGGTTGAATGAGCAAATTATTTTATTTTTTCAAAGGGATTATTATCCCTGGACTCGCCAGTCGACTAACAACCGGGTTCCTACTTACTGCTGGTAAACAGAGGCGTGTGGAGTAAGGAAACTTGCCTAACGTTTCGCCCTGTCTGGGAATCGAACCCGGGTCCTTTCACTTGCGAGGCGATTGCTCTAACCGCTGAGCTGCACGACTCCACAAGTACTGTGCTAGGATTTCAGTAACACGTTCAGAAAACATCAACGACATAAGTTGATGCTAAGAATAAAATTTACCATCATCCTATGAATAATTCATTTTGAACCATCTATTTTTGAAACCGAAAGATTTCAAGACTCAATAACTCACATTTTCCATACCGGCTCAGCACACTCATCGCTGAGGTGAAAGAAACTTGTGAATCCAGGAGAGTTGAAAATCTTCAATAGGTTTTGATGAAGGATCTAACCTGCAATCCTAAACTTTCTTTCAAATTCTAATATACAATAATAGTAATACATTTACGTTCCCCTTATCGTATTCTTTCACAATTTAAAAAAAAAACCTTATCGGGTACTTTATACTTTGCAGCTAACGGACACCCTGACAAGGAATTCTTCAATGTTTAACGGTCGATTGTGAACCATATTTTTATTAACACTGAAATTGAAGACTGTGCTGGAACATGGCAAATACTCTCAGCTGCACATCCGTAGAAATCTTCTTAGTCTTTTCAGTTTGTCTGTTCGAACTGTTTTTCTGTTGTTCGCTACCAATTGGCAGACTTACTCAAGAGAGGCGGCAGGCACTGTTTGAGTGGTTTGAAAGAGCGAGGTGAACTCTAGAGATTGACTGAAATTGGCAAGCTTACACCGAGCTTACACTGGAGTTTGGAGAGTGGTTTTGTTCCATCTTGGTGTTGTGGTAAGCCACGGTGGCCAAATATTTGATGCAGCGTAATTTGCACACCGAGGAGGTTTTCGTTTGTTATTCCACAATTAGTAATTAATGTAGGAATTTTACTTGGGAGACTGTTCGTTGAGGAACGGCATTAAATTGCCTCGCGGCAAACCAAGTTGATTAAAAACACTGTTAAACAAGGTGCGCTGCTATTTCAGTGTGATTGCACATATGTTTCGTCATGTTATGTAACAATTGGTGCTAGTCATATACCTGCCAGGAACTGACAAATGGCATCTGGTGGTTTAACTTGACATATTTAATTATTAATGTGCAGTGTCATTTGAAACTTGCTTTAGTCTAACATTTTAAATGCAGTGTAGAGTGTTTCCACAACTCCTCAAAAATGTTTTTGCTGTCAGGAAACATTCCCACTCCCCCACGGTGCAAATCAGTTGGCACAGGAACAAAAAAAACTTATCGTGTGAAGCATTTTGAGGCGTTTCAATATCAGAAGGTGCTACAATATTTATTGCAGGGATTAACTGCATACGCCATATACACAATTGCTTAAATGTAATACTGTATTGAGTCAATTTGTGAAGAGTGCATGTGGAGCTTTTTTGGTGAGTGACCCAGTGATGCTTGAGGGGGGTGGGGGGGTGGGAAGAGGGGAGATGGAAGCTTCAGATAATATCTTTTGATGTCGCATCTTTTGATATGATGATATGTAGCTTTACAATAACAAGTAACTTTTACTGTAGAACAGTAAAATGTTCTACAATACAGCATCCCTCCAGTGTTGCGTGTGTACAATGCCTTCAGAGGTTTTCTGTGAAGAGCAGTGACTGTAACTGTAGGCAAACACGGCAGTCAATTTGCACACAACAATGCCCCGCAAACATACCATGAAGTGAATGACCAGTTATTTTTAATTTGGGAAATTTGTTGGTCAGGACACTGCGATAAACTCCCTTCTCCGAATAGTGCCGTAGGATCTTTAACGCCCACCTGAACAGAAGATGGGACCTCAGTTTAACATTTCATCCAAAAATATGTTACGTTGAGGGTAATACAGTTTACCCCCAGCACTGCATTTGCTCTATTCCTTCTCCAGAGAAGCTTGAAGTCTGTGGGTTTGAAACCGAATTAAAATGTTAAGCAACATATCATCATCTTCCATTCCAGTTGCCTTTAAAACTCTTGTTGGCAGAACATGGTGTCCCAGTAAACGTTGTCCAACTTACCAGTGGTCAGTTGTTTTTCTAAGGCCTCTTAACACAGTACCCTTATGGGGAGAATACACTCAGTACAAATTAAAGTGTCCATTGGATTGTTTTTTGTTCAAAATCGGAAAAGTCTCTGCTTACACGCACGTGAATTTATTTGTTGTAGAGTAAATCCAATATCAATCTATTCAATCTATCCTAATCTTGTAACTTTGTTTTTCTATCCCTAACTCATGGTTTGATTCCCTAACCTAATTCTAACCATGTTTGGAGTCTATTCTGCGTCATGAGCACAGAGGAATTTCTGCATGCGCTTCATTCCATAATTGACAGCCAATGACATTTGGTTCGAGACATCGCTGATAAGTCAGTGGATGACTTTAAAGCACAAGAGAATTGCTCTGTGCTGTTTCTTCTCCCCTCAGGACAATTTTTACAAAATTGGCACATCTTTTCAAACCTTCGCTTCACGTATTACAATTGTTTTTGTTCCAGTTAAACTTCAGCTACAAGCAGAAACTGTAGGAGTGATATCGATCAAGGGGGTCTGTGCGAACCGTTACCTTGCTATGAACGAAGATGGGAAACTGTACGGCTCAGTAAGTATGATGCAGTGCTTGCTCCCCTCTTTTTTAATTGTTGTATTTTATTCTTTTCTTTATGTTCTTTTGACCGTTCCTGCTTTTTCGTTTGGATTAAATTGAGTTGGGCTGGGGGGGGGGGGAATGGGGTCTACGGGCTCCTTGATTTCCCGGGGGAGGGAGGGAGAGGGGAGGGAGGGAGAGGGGAGGGAGGGAGAGGGGAGGGAGGAAGAGGATCCTGCTATTATTCTGACTATTCTTTCTCATGGTGGTAAAAGAAATTTGGCGAAGTATGTCTGCCTATTCTGTAAATAAGCAGGTCATTTGATGACCCGAAAGTCTTTTTGTAAAAGGAATCCATCAAAGCACTGGGAGCAAATTGGCCAGATATGTGCAGCGAGACCAGGTGTTGTGCCTCTTTATTAGTGCGGGTTGGGATTGTGTGGCTCAGAACCACTGTGTTATAAAGGAACTCCACTGCTTGGTGGTGTGCCACAGAGAGCAGGTATAATTCTCTGCTCTGACATTCATTGACATTCCCTAATAATAATCCTCCAAAACCAAAACCAATAATAAATTGGCCATTTTCAATCTACGACTGTTTGTGGGACATTGCTGTGCGCAATTGGCTGCCGCGTTCGCCCATAAATATACAGTCAATTCACTTTACAGTGTGTTCTCTGAAGCGCTTTGGGACGTCCTCCCGACGTGAAGAGCGCTATATCAAATGCAACGATTATTATTATTATTATTCCTTCTCTCTAATTGCTGGGTCATGTGGGAACACTTATACGGTGCAGTGACACTGGCATTTTCTGCCCCCTCTCTCAGAAACACACGCCTTGGCATTGTGCACCCCCCGAGACAGTTGGAAAATGCCACACTTGATGTGTTTCTGCTTGTCAGGGATTTCTTTAAAAAAAAGAAACCTGTGTTCCTCTCGCTGAACAAGGCTTAAAAGGGCAGAGATGTGACCTGTTTCCAGACTGCACCTTCTTGTGGTGTTTGTGGAATAAATTGGGAACTTTATTATCTTGGCCACGGTATAAAGGTTGATGCTGAATATCGGGGATACAGAAATGAAAAACCTGTTTGAGTACTTTATCTCTTACTTTTGTTCATCGGCGTCCACACACTCACTCCTACTGCCGTACAAAAGTCTGCAAAAGAAAAAGGAAGAAGAAAAAAAGTCCTCTCCTTCCCTCTGTACACTGGCTGAACCAGCATAGTATGTCCCGCAGTAAAAGCCATAGTTGACCCTCCGCCCATGCTGTTGGTGAAGCGGCCTTCAGGTGGGACATGGTATTTATCGTTCCAGCAACAATCTGAGTGTCTTGAGTTTATCTTGGACTGCATCACTGAGGGAGGAACTGGCTGTTTGAACCATATTTCCGTGCCAACAAACTGTGTGGCACGCAGAGCACACTTGGATGGTTTTCCGAATATTCATTTGGAACTTGCACGTCCGTCGCGAAACCCAATGGACGGGCCGACATTTGCAGCAAGAGTCCCATAAATGAACTACAGGGTGTCCACAAAGTCACGTTACCTCCCCCTTCCCACCACCACCCCGTTACAAAACAGTGACGTGAGACTACGGAAGAACTCAAACAATTTGTCACTTGGTTAAAAGTGAAATTTTCAAATGTTTGATAATCGCCTGCTACCAATCGTGTATATTCACTGACACGACATCGCCTTTGGATAGTGCTGCATTCTAACACACTATCTGAATCACACTACCACACGTTGCCACACGCTACCACACTCGCGGGGTCTGGTTTGCACCTTAAACTTGCAGACTTCTTTTTTTTAAATCTTCACTTCCAAACATAGCAAGTGCGGCTGGTAATGCGGTATTATTTTACACACACACACACACGCACCAAGTGTGGTGGAAATCTGGAACTCTCTCCCCCAAAAAGGCTGTGGATGCTGGATCCATTCAAATCGTCAAGGCTGAGGTGGATAGATTTTGATTAGATAAAGGGTATCGAGGGATATGGGACAAAGGCGGGTATTTGAAGTTGAGCTACAGATCAGCCATGATTTAATGGAATGGCAGAACAGACTATGATGGCTACGGTGGTCTACTCCTGTTCGTATGTTTGTGCTGTACCCACAGATGTGAAGATTTGCATCCTCGTCTGATTTGGGTTTTTTTTTGAAAAAGAAATCGAACCAAGCAGGATTTTGTTTTTGAAAACCTGCAGGCCCCAGAACATCTGTGTGCATAAATTATTATGGAAGGAAAATTTCTATGGATTGACGTTTGGAATCACATTCCACAATTGATTCAAAGACCACCTGTGATTTGGGGCATCGCTCCAGGTGCCCTTTAAATTCATTGAACTCCCTAACGTATTCTGAATCATCCATATCTGCAAAAGTGAGTAATTTGCTGGCAGGGCGGTATTTTATTCTGAAATAGTCTATGTGAATATGTGCGTTGGAGCGCTGCAAGGGTAGGTCATTTTTAAAAAAATAACTTACATAAAAAAAAATAAAAAAACGAGGTCACTACACTTTACAATACATTTTCCGAAGCGTTTTGAGACATTTCAGCCACGTGATGAGGCTTTATGAAGTGCGAGGATTATTATATTTTAAGCGGAGATACCAGGTAGTGTGGGTGCTGAACTTGTGAAAGGATGAGTGGGGGGTCAATGCTGAATTATTTAGCACTTCTTGAGTCAGCTCCGAAAACAATACAATTGGTGCAATGTGAGACTGGAAGGTGTTGAATACTCAATTAGGATTAATTGGACAATTTGAGGAGGAACCAGTGAAAGGAAGTAGAAAAGGACACTAGGAGAGGGACAAAGGGTGTGCGATGTAGAGTGTTGTTTTATTCAGAATTTGGAAAGACAAACTAAAGAAGCTACTAACACACCTGTGACTTCGAGTGAGTTATGTTACAAAAGATTTGCTCTTAAAAGAGCCAGCACTCAATGGGCCAAATGGCCTTCTTCTGTGCTGTAAATTTCTGTGGTTGTAAAGTCAGTAGTCAGATAATTAAAATGTTTTGCTATTGTTCTGTTTTTAAAAACAGATCTCCTATTGTAAGTAGAAATGAGGTCGTTATGATGGCATCTTAGGAACAACTAGAGTATTGTAGCATTTTTTATAGTCTCATTTCTGGGTGTATGGGTGTAACAGTGATTTGTTTTCCAGTGAATTATGGCCGTATAAGTTCTGGTGTTACCATGAGTAATCTTATATGAGCCTTGTTTTTCTTCCAAAGCACTAAGCTTGCAGATGGGTGATGGTCTGTTTAATGGTATTCCAGATGAATGCTCTCACTTTCCCCCCCCCCCCCCCCGCCTCCCGCAGAAAAGAACCTTTGCCTTATCAAAGCTCATCCATTGTATTACTGGGTAAGAGTACTGCTTGGTGTAAAAGCCAAGGCGAGTGTCAGCCTGCTTTAGTTGGTAGCACTCTTGTTTCTGCGTCAGAAGGTTATGGATTCAAGCTAAACATCAAGACTCTGAGCTGATGGTCTGGGCTGATGCTCTAATGTAGTGCTGGGGAAGCACTACATTGTTGGAGGTGCTTTCCTTTCGATCAGACGTTAAGCCAAGGCTCTCCCTGTTCAGGTGGATGTTAAAGATTCAACCACTACTTGTAAAGAGAGGGATTTCTACCAGAGTCCTGACCAACAATTACCCCGGGTTGAAATTGGTCACTCACTTCCTGGCTGTTTGTGGAACATTGTTGTGTGAAAATCGGCTGCCAGATTCGCCCACAATTACAGTCATTACACTTTATCAGAAGACATTTTGACGTGATGAGGTGCTATGTCAAATTCAAAATTTTTTTAAGACCATATCGCCCAGTGTAATATAAAACACTTTTGTCACTAATCCTGGTCTATGGAAAGTTGCCTGATCTCAGCCAAGGGCCACAGTGGATTGTTACAATTGGTCTCGGCCCCATTTTATTACATAATTATAGCGCTTAATATAAGATCTCTGGGACGCTACCCTGCATGAGGGGCGCTATATGAATGCAAGTTGTTGTGGTTATTTTTTCTCTTCCCCACTCCCCACCCTCCCCAGGCTATGGAAGTGAAAATTCAATTGAACGATTGCAACTCAGTGACTCTTACATACATGCACAGGTACATTTGCGGAAAGAGCGCCTTTGGAGGTAAAGAGCAATTACCGCACGTAAGTGACACCCACCCTACAGGATCTCTGATCTGACCTGAATTTCCATACAGCCAGTCGGATAAGATGAAAGTGTTTTTTCTACTGGCTGTGAGTACCATGTGGAATGATTTGGCTACTCACTGAGTTAGGATAGCATTAAGCTTGACTGATGCCCTCAGCAAACCTATAAGTTGTTGTTGTTGTTGTTGTTGTAAGTGTACTCCTGAATTGGCCACCACATTTTGCAGGTGGAAAGAGAGAGAGATCATAAAGTAGAGACCTACCTGCTCATTGGAGCTAGAATTGTGACCTGTATTTAACCGGTTGTAGCTTGTTAAACTCGGTTAAAAGTGTCAAATGTCTATTTTTCCCCTTAAAGAGAGCAAAATCTATCGGCGAGCTGATCACCTGCACTCATTTCAATACCCTTCTAGAAACCCACCTCTGTGACCGTACCAAGCATCTTACCCCAGTTTTCCATCTCGTTTGGGTTTCCATTCCACCTCTTGTAAAGGGCTTCCAGTCGTGGACGTATATGAAAGGCGCCATATAAGTGCAAGTTGTTAAGGAAAATGCCTGCAATAATATCAGTTTCTATGCTGTTAAAAAGCTTAAATACTACAGGGTATTTGAATAGCCTCACTTCATGTTACATTTCTGTAGGTAGGGTTTAAAAGCCATCTGCTTTGTAAATATTTACAATGGCAGTAAAGTAAAGACAACATGCTGAAAACTGTGAGCCGTACACAGACTAACATTTGTCTAGTGGATAAATCTCAAAAGCTTAACTGTGTTGATTTACAAATTAGTGGGATTTTCAGTAATATTGTGGAAAAAGTAGCAACATATTACAATTTTCTGTTGTAA